CATCGACATTTGGGGAGAGTGTTCGGTGAACTACGTGAAGGCTTGATTCCTTGGGCAAGAGGATACGTAGGCAGTCTTTATGATGCAGCCGATTTGGTGAGTAGACACAATTGGTTTGGGGTTGAGTGTTCCACTCCCGTTTGGATCTCGACGTGTTGTGATTGGAGTCCATTGTCATGAGTACGTTGTTATGGCATACTGGGTGCAACAGTTGAGGTATTGGTTTGATCGGTGTCGGCTCAGTTTTGGAAGAATCTTCGCGACCGCCGCTGCGGTTTTGAGTTGGGCCTGTTTTCAGACCCGCTTCGGTTTGGATTTATATAAATACCCTTTGGGTGTTTTTTAGGGTAATAAGCAAGGACGAATTTGAGCAGATTGAGAGAGTTTTCTTTGGGTTTCTATTCTAGGAGCAATTGGAGAGATTGAGAGTTGATTATTGAGGGTTTATGAGAGATTTGTAACCCTAGTTTGTTCCTCTTGATTTCTATTAGTGAAAACTCCCCCCTCCTTGCCCCGTGGACGTAGGCATCTTGCCGAACCACGTAAAACTGGTGTTTGGTTGTTTGTGCTGTTGATTTTGGTTGGTTGTTTATCTTTCTTGGCGATTGATTTGGTTTCTCGAGACCCAACATGGAACTTATCTCTGTCTTAAGCATCATCTACAACATTCCTTAATTTGATATAGCGTTTGCATAAAATACTGGCATGAAATTAAGCTATATATGCTGCTGGAGCGTAATATAGTATATAATGTTGTGAGAATGTTACATTATTTTATGTCCAGTAAACTTGAGCCAATGGCAAAGAATGAGATATATAAGATTTCGGGAAAAAAATCTCAATAATCAAGATATATCTATGACATTAATTATCGCAATTGTTTACTATTAATTAAAATCATATCGGAAAGAGATCTCAAAATAATTTGGATCTTGGCAGTAGAATCTAAATGCATGATCATGTCTAAATAATCATGCTTGTGTTACATTAGGAGACCTTTTATGATTTTTCCATCTTTAATACGTACGAGGTATTCAAATGCAATGTATGAGTTAAACATAGTACTGTGTTGAAGTGTGCTGTGTGCCGCTCTAATTTCTTCTATTTTCTTTTATTTCAACATAATATATAAGAAACGTGGAATTTCTAATTTGCTTAATGGATCATACATAATTGATCGATGAGTAGCATACAAATACTATTTCCAGCGCATAAAACGAAATAGTTATTTGATACGGAAGGAAGAGAATCATGTATATATATATATACTTTTATAAGTTCTAGATGTTGGTTCTGAGAGGTAGGATTCCTTGCTTAGCCCTCAACACAAATCCAACCATAGCTAGTTGAAAATGACTTCAACTTTAGTGATGCGCTCGTTAGGTAGGAGAATTCAAAGAGAATAGCAACATGCACTAGTGTCTGGGAATAAACTTTTTTCATGAGTTTGGTTGGGAGTCCGTCTCTTTCTTCTTTTCTTCTAAGTGTAATCTTTCATTTTACCACTATAATATTATTAGTGAAGAATTATATAGTAGTTTTTTTAAGGCTACATTTCAGGAAAAAATCTCATCAACTTTGGAAAATTAATTATCAAAAAGTCCCAAACGACTTTCAAATATTAGAAACGCCCTTAAGTTCAGAGGTTATCGGAACCCCCTTAACTTATAAAAGACTCTTTCAAGAGACCCTCTAAAAACGCGAACCACAATTTTCACTAGCAAAAATATCCTCATGTGTAATTTTAGACATCATGTATAAAATCGCAGTTAAACGATGTTTGGGGGACGTCTGATAAAGTCTCAAATTTAAAGGGTGTCTTCTGATAACCCCTAAAATTAGGGGGATTTCTTGATATTTTGAAAGTTATATATATATATTGAGGGTTACCCGATAATCGTCCAACATTAAGAGGATTTTTCTAATTTTTAGCCTTTAATCTCAAATAAATGTCTATTCTTGAATTAATGTAAAACAGTCTGTTTAGGATTGAGTACATCAATATTCGTCCAAATATTTTTCTTAAAAGTTGTGTGGTTCTTAGACTGCGAGTGATAATTTTACAAACTGCAAGATTCATGATATACGTCTCTAAGATTACCCCATAAACATTAGTAAGAAACTTAGCTTAGGTGTCTCTAGTACTTGATTTTCATACTAATTAAATTGAGATATACGTTACTAATGAACGTGACAGTGGTTCACAATCTAATTAGACTAATTTGATGTTGAAGAAGACGACAAGCATGATCTCAGTTCAAAGTCTGATAAGATAAATGTTGCATTCACTTAAGGGACAGATCAGGGGGGTTCTTAATTAATTATTAATCTTGATTGGTTGCAACTCCTAATCAATCTTTATCTTTTGACTATAAAGACAGCCATCTTGTCTTCTGAACTTTACCAACATGGTTAATGATAGGAGGTTTGAGGTCATAGTTATTAGTCACAATCCGAAATCTTAGGGTACCGTTCACTGTGCAATTATTATTCAATATTTAATTCATTTCTTGTTAGTTGCACATATAGTAAGTCACTTTCAGTTTCTTGGTTGGGTTTATTTCGGAGTTTTTCAACAGCGTGTGCGTGCAAGGGATTCACAGGGTGAGATCCTACAAAATCTGTGTTTTTTAGGCTTCATTTTAGGGGCTGTTTGGTTCGCTATTATAAGGGGTGGAAAACTCAGAAAACCCCTCCACGTCAGATTTTTAGCCCTCCACGTCAGCTTTTTTGTTTCCGTCCATTTCTTTGTGCCGCTTTGGTTCGCTCGAATGGAACTGGAAAAACTCTGCTGAAATCGCCGCCAACTAAGATTTTTTTCCATCTCCGATTTCCTTCCCCAACCAAGTAAAATTGATGAAAACTCTGCCACGTCAGATTTTTTCCTTCTCTGCTTTGTTTACAAAAGTTTTCCTTTTTTTTATGCGAACCAAACACAAGAAAAATAAATACATTGGTTTCCCAGCATTTTTTATGTGCGAACCAAAGCAAAACAATCTATTTCTTGGAAAAGTTTGAAAAACTCAAAACTTATATTTCTTTACATGGAATTGCATTTCTCTATATCAAAGAAACGAACCAAACAACCCCTTAATTGAGGGTTATATTTTTATACTCCAACATCTTTAGCATCAAAATGAGATTCATATCGTGAATTTAATGTGTATATGGTGTCCCACATTAGAAAATTTAAGAAATTGTTAAGTTAATTAAATAGAAAGTTAGCAATAATTCCTAGTAGCTCAATAGAAACTTGTGACCCAATAGAGAGTGATGAAGCCTAAAATGAGAATGACTAAGATCAGATTAGCCCATCAACCTTCAGATTCAGATGATTGAAGATTCTATAAGATTGTTACTAGTTCAGATCGAAATTAATCGTCAGAGAAGGGGTTATGTTTCTCATGGATGATAAAGCTATCACATATGAACTACACAGTTTCTCGCCAACAATGTGTTCTATTTCAAATCCAAGTTTTAGTTTTAAATTCTTAACATTCAAAGAACCGTCATCTGTCTAATTTCAAAAAATAGATTTTCGAACCAAACATAAATTGGTAAGGTTTCCTTGCTCAAAGTCATGACTATCCAATATATAGTATATTTTTCCAAAATTAGTCATGAGTCTAAACATAACGAAATTCCACTTCTGTGGATAGTCTTTACTTATGAAGATCATATTAACACATGATACAACGGTTCAACAAAAATAGATTTATTTCGATATTTATTGGGTTTTCTTGTGATCTTCGTACACATTATGTTCACCCGCTCATTATTCTAAATACCAATATCAAGATATAGTGTTTCTACAAAATCAATCTCCAGATCCTTACGCTTGACAAGCCCACTAGGAGTGGAGAATTTGCCGGGCAAAATAGCGACAATAGTCCTTAAACTATATACAACTCTTGCGGGTTTTAAGGTTAACTCCACAAACAGCGCTCGAATTTGGGTTTTTTGCATATCTCCCCCCTGAACTTATTTAATCTAACATCCCGCACTCCCCATCAAAAAAATAAAAATAAAAATAATAAAAGAAAAGACTTTGAGTGACTCATGAAACCCCCCTTAAGTTCAAACTTTCTCAATGAACCCTCTATCTATAATTAACAAATAATTAATATATTCTTAATTAATTG